TTTCCGTATTAAGTTGCCCTGGATATTTAGTGTCGAGTACAGCAACACAAACACGTTGAGAGTCGAACATGTTCGTACCATTTAACTCTCTCAATACATTCACTAATCGAGCTCCGTATCTTGTGGCATTCTCTATAAGTTGGTCTTGTTACACGAGTAAGTTGAGACGAATTCCCTTGAAAACCCTAATTAATATTCATTACACGTTCAGTCACATGGTGAAGCAAGACCCATTACCAATAAAATAGGCCCTAATTGACAAAATCAAGGCCGATCGTATAGCTCTGGTGTTGTAAAAACCTATTTTATATACTTATCTCTAAGTTAAATCTATTCTGTATACCCAGGTTGCTTGTTTATTCAGCTGTATTGTCTGCTTCTTTATCCAGCTTTACTAAAGCCGTTTTACTAGGCAATGCGCCCATTATATTTGTCTTTTTTTTATGTATTTATGGTTACGTGAAGGCCCTTCCCGAATACTCCTAAACTATATACTTCTCCTATTAAAAAAAAAGTAATTGTCTGCCCGTTCATATTGATTTAGGTTATATGCACGCACTTACAGGGACATCCAGAGGAGGGATAATCACGGGATCCTGATTATCTAGGAAATCATATACATTTTCGTTTAGTTTTAATTTGCTATGGGGCCCCAATATGTATTATTCCAAGGACCTCCTGAGTGGTTCTACTTGCACTAATTGTTTATACATCTACTCGTAAACAATGTTTACGAATATAAAATTTCCTTGTATTATCTTTCTACTTGTTTATAGAGTTTCTATTGTATAGATGAGTAGAATTGGCGGTATTTTTAGAAGTGACGTAACAGTTGTTCCCACTAATCTCCTTACACTCGGTTGACTAGTAGATGGGCCCCCTCCATCCTTGAAAGGTTGATGTAAGAACCAGCTGTGGGAAGAATTGAGCTTTAAGCTTGTCACATCTTTTCTCCTGTTACTGTATTTTGAAGTTTCTTATCACAGAATATGTTTTATTATTTGCATAAATATGCAAATTACCTGGAAATTATCCAAATTACACTATTTCGTATAGAAAACGCATTGTTCTAAACTCATTTTATCAGTCGTATTCTAAGTGTTCCCTTAATACAAGGTACAAAACACGGTTAATTAACTTTTGAGTCACTGTGTATAATACTTCACGTCATTCAGAATTGAGATAAATGAATTGGAGTCTTGCAACATGGTATTCCATCCATTTCTGAAAGCCACGATGAACCCAATGATCTCGATGATGATTACAGTTGAGCAATAGCTGATCCAGAAATATCTAGGTGGTGTGCGGAAAGGAAATTATCAGAAGTATTGGGTTTTACTCGAGAAAAAACCCTAAGAAGGGGGTGCAGTGCCCTGCGTACCTCCCAAATCCGGCCCTGCAATTGATTTCATATTAAATGCCGTTAATTAACTTTTTATATGCTCAAATACTAGACAATTCATAGCATTTTTCTTCGAAATATGTGTGTGTATGGGAGGTCCACCTCTCTCTCTCTATAGCGGTCTCCCCAACTTGCAACGTAAACGGATTCTCATGTTAATGTTTTCTTTTCGAGACAGCTGAGCTGCAGGTGTTCCTGTTTTTATAAAAACTTGATTCTAGGAATTCCATCCCGGCCGATGTTGTGGAAGTAACTTGGATTGACACACAATCGGGGATGATGAATAACAGGAACGACAAGTGGGAGGAGGAGACTGCTGAATAGAATGTGGGAACCATTCTGATCGCGCGATAGATTATTAATCATTCTCTAGAGGAATATCAATAGAAAAAAATCTAGATATAGGGTCTAAAATCCTCGATCTTTATTATTAGTTTTTTAATCCTCAATAAAATCCTTTTGCTAATTGATTAATTCTTAGTAGGGTCGTCGAGAGCTTATATGGGGCCCGGGAATAGAGCTAGCTCCTTTTGCCTTTTAGAGAGACCAAATGAAATACGTAGAATGTTTCTTTAAAAAGCAGTTTTAAAGTTTTTCTGTTAGTAAAAATAATAAGTTTATAAAGATAGGAACCACTGTGGGATCCATAGTGAACCTGTACAGTTCCTATGGCGAGAGGGAAAGACGGTGCTGTGATAAGTCCCCTGTGACCCATAGTATGGACCACAGGGGGTTTAGGAAGATTAGATAATTTAACTAACATTCTCCGAAAAGCAACAGGGGGGACACGTGCCTTGGTCCCCCTGAATTTGCCTTGAGCAGCACCCATATTCTCAAAATCCTAGATTGACAGGGCCCTAAATTTTCTCCGGGCACAGGAAAATTCCCAGTTCACCTCTCTCGACGGCCCTGAATTCTTCCTAGATATTAAGGATTCATTATAAACGTTTATTTAAATGATTCATTGTATTCATTAATTTATGATTCATTGTACTCGTACTGTATTAGTAGGTTAGCCAGAGAAGAGGAGTCTTAGGCGGCTCTGCCCCGTACTTATTTAATTACATAAGTACAGGAAAAAGTTGTGAATGCGATAAATGCACTTACATTCTCACATATACAATACCTAAACGTGTGCTCTTCGTCCACAAGGCTAGCTAGAGGTATAGAAATGAATGTAGGTTTGCACGTTCTAATTCGGGTCTCCCCTAATTATTTACAAATTAATGAATAAAATCAAATGTACACATTACAATACAATAGAATTTTGCAAGCACACTTTCTATTTGACATCGATAAATTGAAATATAACCTGTAACATTATTTAAATTGGTGCTTTCCGGAACAGGTTCTTAGAACAAACCAGAATTGTTTATGATGATAATGAAGATGCTTACGAAAACGATGATAAAATTGGCTTATATGTGCAAGGAATATATATATAGTAAAACCTGTGTAAACCGGAATCGCGCGGTTAAATGATTAATTAATCTTACGTTCTGCGACAAAGTGACCGTACAGGTAAGAGTCAGTATAAGGGTACAACCAAGGTCATTTGGGCCAAGGGTCTAAACTTAACTACTTTCGATTATGTAGGAGTTTCGGTATCCAAGGATAACAAGAATCTCACGTGGCATATTTGAAGTCATGCGGTACGTAAATACATCTGTTGCTACTCTCTGGTAGGGCCGTCAGCGCTTGTATGAGACCTTTTCGCGGGCCTCCTTTTGACATTTTTCGTTAGTAAAAATAATAATAAATTTACAGAGATGTTATTACATTATGAGTCCCCAAATTTTTTCCCTAAGATGAAAACATCCTCAGCTCCTTCTCGACGTTAGGCGCTTACATACGATGCGAAGAATGAATGTGCAACGTAAGCTTCCCATTGCTATTGGATACCGAAAGAAAGACAAGACCTTCCTAGGTGCCGAACAGAGAGAAAATATAAGATTTATGTTTATTTTTTAATGCATAAAATCTGATAAGGAAAGAAACTTTAGCTGTATTACTTTCATAAGTGGTGGAAACCTGTATTTACTTGACTTAGTCCGTTTTTTTTTTTTTTTGGCTCCGAGAGAGATGGAACCTCACACCGAATCATAGTAAACTGCTTTCTGATAGTATAGGAGTGCCCCGAAAGCCTTGCTATATCGCGGAATCTCAATATAAAGCCCCATATCTGTATGAAAATTTTGGTTTAGCATAGTCTTACGAGAGCCTGAGAGATCGAGCCTGTTAAAAACGCTCGAATATTTCAAAAATCATTATAATTATCCCTTTAATTCGGCTTAATTGATATTTAATAATAATCTTCACCAGCATTCGTTTGTTATTCAGAGCAGACAGCGTGAAAGTAGTTTGAACTTGAACTTCATGACATACCCGATTTATATAATAATTTATTATTAATCTGCAACTCCTACGTTGAAGATAAATTACGTCATAATACTTCATCTAAAGTGCAGTTTTCACGAATTATAATAAATTATCCGCTATTTATATGAATATAAATAAAACTTCCTCCCCTCTTCTGGTAGATTTCGCATTTTTTTACATTCCCCTAACATGAGGCTTCGTTGAAAGCGGACAATCTCTTAAAAGAGGGGACATTAATCTTGTTAGAACCTCCCTACACCGCTTTATTTTGTATCACAGCTGGAGCAGTGTCGTGGCCAGGAGTAAATCATTGGGGGGAGCTAGAGGGGCAAACTAAAACAATTGGTATTTTTCTTTTTCCCGGCTAGCACTGCTACAGTTTAAGTGTAAAAGTAACAGTAGCCTATGTTTATGTGATGAAAGCATTATGTATACTGCATATGACATAAATTGAAGGGACTTATCCACCTCAGCACCCCCCGTTTTTACTTGAAAATGATCGCAAAATATAATAAATTTGATCTAAAAATATCTTTCCATCCTACAGACATACCTGTAATGTGTTCAGTTAAGCCCACAACAGGGTGTTACATAGTCAGAGATGAAGCTTGATATATCTATGTGATTTCGGAGGAATGTAGGTTTGGGTCTGATGGACTTGAACTTGAGTAGCATGAGCAATTGAGATATTACCTTTGTGACCACCATTTTTTTTAACTCTTTTTGCCTTGTGGACTCTACGAGAATCTTTAGCAAGCCCATTAACGGTTTTCCAGGTGCACAATGGGGTGGTGAAGGATACAGCCACCCACGCCACCTTTTCTCAATGCTAGAACTCTTTGCGGCATGCCGTCAATCAGTTAGTTTATCTAACTTTGATCCATTCACATCTATTCAACAATGTTATATGTTAATATTATGTGTAAAACACAGTATAAATGCAAAGTTTGTTGATTTACATCTTTAATAAATCATTTAATTGTACATTTTTCCAATTAAAATAACTGTTTTATATCTTACACATTCAACGAAACTTACAATTAAACTTTTATAATATAGAATATAAAAATTCTTAAATCTCAAACTATATAAAAAGTCCTAAATGTATGATTATAACAATATTTAATTACAATTTAAATGTTTATAANAGATCATTTTATAATAATGCAGATTTGTATATTAATAAATTACTTTTTAATTCTGTATTATAATTTGTTACAGTTGAGACTTATGCAGAATGAGCTCAATGTGGAAGAAGTAGTAAAAGATAGAAGTTTAAAGGTGTTGTTTTCATTTTTTAAGTTTTAAACGCTAATTAATAATAATTATTTTCTCATAGTTTCTTCTTTTTTTTTAATTTTAATTTTAGGTATTTTATGAAAGATGTCGATCCTTTTACAAACCACCCGATTTCAAATTATGAGAAAGAAAATTTTAGTTTCCATAATCCGAGAAACATAATCCACTTCACAGAATCAGTTCATCCATCTTAAGCCATGATTTATGAAGTGCCACGACAGTAAAGTAGGAACTTATGATTTATATCAGCAAAATTTAGAAAACTGTACAATAATTTTTTTATTCATGTTCTATTTTGAAAACAATGTTATACAACTAGAAAGTTATAAATTTACTTTAGTAATGAAAATATAATAAATTTTTCTATATCGTTTCTCAAATCATTATTAAAATTTTTACAAGCTCTATCAAAAGTAATGTGCATTTAATAATAATTCTATCAATTAACATTTTTATACCATTTTAATTAATATGCAATGTAAACCATACATTAGTTTAATTGGGAATATATTCAACTTTCTTCATCTACATGGTGTCTCGTAAGCCTGGATCCATAGAAATTATATTGATCTTTGTTTAAGGTTACCAGTTTTCCCGGATTTTTTCTAACAATGTTAAGACTTTATTCTAAAAACTGTTTCTATAATAAAGTGTCTTTTTCTGCAGTTTAAGTGTATTTCAGAAACTTGTGGCCAAAAAATACACATCTATGGATGTCCCAGTATCTTTCTAAAAGAACCTGTTATCCCGGATTTTATCACCAAATATCCAGTAATCTTATCCTCGTTTATTTGCTTACGGATAAAGTATGGGGTTGCGTAAGTTGGAATGAATTCAAGTTATCTTGACAGTGGAGATTGAGTTGGCAAGAAGTTGCTGAAGAGTTTAACAAGCTGGATGCAGACCTCGCGTCACTTACACACAGCAGTCTGGATGAAGCCCATTAAACTCTTCTTGCTGACTCTGGATCTCTGCCATTAAAGTATTTTGTTCATCTCTGCTTGGTGCCATGCTTTACCTGTCATAGAATAAACAATGATCAACATAACTCGTGGATCCAGACTTACGGAACATCCTGTATATTAAATAATGTATTTAAAAGTTAAAATGTTTTTTTAGAAATCAGGACTTTT